TCAGGCCTACGCTTCAGCGCCGAGATCACTATGTTATGTTATGTTAAATCTGCAATTAACTCAATTTACCTTGTAACTGTCTATGTCCCTATTAGCAATAAAGGGCTAACTTGTCATTCTTCAACCCATGTTTTCAAAATGATTCGTATCGTAATCGAAAACTTGTTTTGTCTCAAATAATTAAGACAAATCTCGTCTCGTCTCGTTATGTCTCGTTTCAAATCTGTCTGTCTCGTCCCGGTTCATAATTTACCGGGACACAAGTTTTAAAGTCCGGGACAGAAGTCTTGTCTCGGTTCATACGTTTATTCCGGGACAAATTTTACCCTCTGTCCCGTTATTTTTTTCCCGGAATTTTCTCGTCTCGTTTCGTCCGTCCCGGTTCATTTCGAGAAAATAATTTCGAGACGCAGGAGTCTAGCTTACAATCAACCTCAGAAAATGATGGCCTGGAGTTGCAGAAATTTGGTTCGATTATAGTGGCTGATGTGTGACGAAGTTTGGCGAACAGACTAGGTTTTCACGCATTTCTCTGTAACGCAACTCTGACTTGTAACATAGCCAGCCGTGTTTCTGTCCGTCATCTGTACTAGAAATTGTCGTAATTGCCCGTGATTATCTAGGCACCTAAAATAAAACTGTATTCGGTAGCAGGTATCAGTACGAAAACTAATGCGGTTATAAGTCGCATATGCGAAAGTTAGGGCATGTTATGCGAATACTGGTCAAAGTCACTGTACACCGATGAAAAAATTGCACGAAAGCCTGTGAGACAATGAGTGCTTCGTTCTATGTCTCGTTTATTTTTGCAAATAATTATGAAAGCTTATTACTTTTTATTTTTTGAAAATGGGTAATGTTCACATATTTTACTTGAAATTTATTCTCTGGGGGAAGGAGGCAAAATTTAATTGCGAACTTTCATCAATTTTCTCATGATAAGCAACTCTCAGTATAAATCCAATCATCGCAAATACTTTTCTGTGTTTTTTTTTTCTGGCATTTATGCGTAGTTGAATGTAGGGATGTAACAGAACCCAGAAAATAAATAATTTAATACGAGCCATTTATTGTGAGGTCAATTTGATCAATGAGGTAATCTATGATGGTTTTGCATTCAGATTGACGTTTTGACAAATGTTGAATAACCTTAAGAATATTTCATTGGAAGAAGTATATTGGATGACTCATAAAATTCTGAAGAGATCTATTTAACATGCCTCGAAAGGAATTTTTGATGCATTGTATGTAATCGACGCTGTGAAATAGGAATATTTTTGGACTTTATGAACATCGAAACGTTGCAACAAAAGATTTACATATTCCAAGGAGGGCCTCAGTAATCCTGTGGCTGTTTCCGTCCATTAGACAAACACCATTTGATCGAACATTAACATCGTCTATATAAATAGATTCGTACTTAACCGTTCTTTTTGCGCATTTCCGAACGTTTTGGGCGTCAGGTAACAATTGAGCGTCACGATACGTATTTATTATTATTACCCTCGGATATGAGGAGTGGTAAATTCCCGAATTCATTACAACAATAAAAACGTATGAATAACGTTTAATTGCTGTTAAATTAAACTGTGCTCTAATACTTAGTTATAACTAGAATTAAAAAACGCTCATGAAATAAAAATATCAGAACAGAAACACAAAAAATTCGTAGTATTTTGAAATATATATCTGAATAAGTTGCCCCTCAGTCATAAGTTCTGTTATTTGCCTCGATGACTTCATTTACAGCGCTCTAAAGTGCCACACAGAAACATTTGACAGCAATGTAAATTGTATCGATTGTTTCTCTGTCACCTCTACGCAACACTACAACAAAGTCATAAATTAATTGGCGACGCCACGATGCTGTCGAATAAGCTTCGATGAACTAAGTACGTACGTGAAAAGGACCTGAGCAAAAGGTACCATTTTAGAATAGAATAAAATAGAAATATTTTTCGTGATTTGATTCACAAGGGATCCGGCCTTTGGAACCCGATCTTTCCATAACTGACGATTGATTGAGATGGCTGCTGGACTTATTGCCTGGTCCGTAATTTGCCTGTCTCTTATACACATCTAGATGTGTATAAGAGACAGGGTTTCCACCCTAGATTGCTCAACGAATTAGCAACCGTCCTGGCCGGCCCTTTAACAGTATTCTTTCGAAAAACCTTAATCGAAGGGACTTTGCCGGCCGACTGGAAAGAAGCCCAAGTGACACCACTGTTCAAAAAAGGTGACAGGAGTAACCCAGGGGCTGGATTATCAAAGCTTCGTAACTTTTTGTACTTACGACAAAAAAGTTCTGTGGTACGTAAATACACCCTAATTTTGGCATTATCAAAACTTTCGTACGCAAGTCTTAGCTAAAAGCCTAAATTTTTCCCCGCGCCAATTTTTCCCGCGCAAATGTTTTTATAATACCACCGCTAGTATTACGTTGTCATAGCAACGCCACTCGTAAGTCGATTTTGCGTACTTACGAAGTTTTGATAAGTAACTACCGTCCTGTAAGTCTCACAAGTGTTGTGTGTAAGGTGATGGAATCGGTTATGAGGGATAGGATTATAGATCACTTGACTGTTAACCATCTTCTATCCGACTGTCAGCATGGCTTTATTGCTGGCAGATCATGCACCACTAATCTCTTGTTTACCTTGAATATTTGGACTCGCCTGCTGGACGAAAGGGTGCCAGTGGATGCACTGTACCTCGATTTTGCCAAGGCATTTGATAGTGTTCCGCATGAGCGACTGTTACATGAATTCTTTGGGAATAGAGGGAAATGTACTCCAATGGATCAGGAATTTCCTAGTAGGCAGAAGACAACGTGTCAGCATTAACGGAACCGTATCTGTTGACGCTCCGAGTATGAACGCGTTCAAAAACAGACTAGACAAGGCCATGCATGAGCATATGTTTGATCTTAAAATGCCTCGTACCCAACGGAACAACTGATATCTAGAAGCTATTTTAAATCTACCGTCCGTTGAAAAGATCTGATCAAAAGGCCAGTCTAGTCAAGAAAAGTACAAGAATTGGCGACAGGCCTATCCAGGCCTATTCTTTATATGCCGAAGATATACTATACTACTGTACTTTACATTTGTCAGCGTTAAAACGCAGCTGCCACTCGTCAGCCCAGTCAAACAACCTGTCTCAAGATCACCTTGCAGCTGTATTTTTTGCGACGTATTCTTCACTGCATTATGAATTTTTGTGTCGTCAGCTTAAATCGAGCACACGCTAGACACAGCTTCTTGCAGATCGTTTATTAACGCAACGAATAAAACAAGCCCGAGAACGCTTTCTTGTGGCACGCCGATGCGCACTGAAGCCCAGTCTGATACGGACCCATTAATACTGACAAGTTGTCGTCTTCCTACTAGAAAATCTCTGATCCATTTGAGTACATTACTCTCAATTCCCAAAGACTTCAATTTACGAAGTAGCCGCTCATGTGGGACACTGTCAAATGCCTTGGCGAAATTGAGGTACACTGCATCTATTGGCTCCCTTTCGTCCAGCAGGCGGATCCATTCGTTCAGAGTAGACAAGAGGTTAGTGGTGCAGGATCTCCCAGCAATAAAGCCATGTTGACAGTCTGATAGGACTGTCAACATGGAATTAGCAGTCAAATGACGATGCCAGCAGAGCTACGAATTAATTATGAACGAGAGCTGTCACAAAACACTTTCGTGATGATAAAATTTACAATTTTATATCGGTCAGTTGGAGGTGAGCTAACCCTTCTTGCGACGAAGAAATTTTCGCTCTAAGCACTTCAAATCAAATCAGAGTTGTTTCTTTTGCCCTAATGTTTGAATTTTTAATTCACATGAAGGGAATCCAAGACGTGAGCTGTCAATAAATAAATGTAAGTTTCCTTTTATAACTTAAAAAAACGAAAAAAAAATTTCTACTACTGTTGTCTTGGAAAATAAACTTTCCATTCCTCCAGTACATCAAATACCTACCTCCTACCGACGCATAGGCTGGCAATGACTTCCGGGAGCAAGCGAGAATTTTTCGCTGTCGAGTAAGTTGTTGCTATTTCGTTTCAATTTATGCGGTTTTAGTTGTCTGCTGTAAAATACTTACAGTAGTGCAACTTCACGACAAACGAAACAATAAAAGTCATTTTTCCATTCATGCATTATTTTGTTCTAATTTCAACTTGTGAATATTGAAATAAAGTATCATTATGTAATTCGTGTTGCTTAAGCGGTTGTTAAGAGGGATTATATTTCTTAGGCTTTATTTCATTGCATCGGTGAGAAGAATCGTCAATTTAAAACGAGTAAAAATATCAGTAGGTATTCAAGTTTCAATCTACATGTCTACTGGGCACGATTGAGTAAAAAGAATATTTCAGATTAGAGTTCATGAGCAGGCTCGGTTACAGTGCACAATAAGGAGTCCCGGGGTGCCGGCAACGAGGGTGAAATGATGGACTGAGGAGACCCGGGGGAGCGTTGATGTTTTTATTGAATGTTCAACAAAGAAGACTGCTCATTGCTACGCTGCTATAGCCTATAAGACAGCCCCAATCAGGGGGCGAGGTATGAAATAGGGGCGATAAAACGCGGTGAGAAAGAAAGAAGAAAAATGATTGGTTGTAAAAAGAGTGGGAGTGTATATTATGAATAGAAAGTGGTTGAAGAAGAGAAAAGATGAGCAGAGAGAATTAGATAGAAGTCAATTGAAAATTTTTAAGGAGTGATAATTATGAGTGTTTGAACGTCATTCTAGTTGGATCGACATAATTCATTCCAGAAAATTTCCTGTACCTATAATTTAATGCATACAAGCAATTGTGCGCAATATTGCTCAATAAACTGAACCAGTAACCTCGCTTTAATGAGCTGTAGATTTATTTGGAAGAGTATAATATGGTCCTTCTCATGTTCTATCATTTCTTCATCATTTAATTAAATTTTATGGGATGCAAAATTTATATGAAGTTAAATACCCTGAGTAAATTAAATTAGATTAAAATTAAAGTTATTGAAAACAAAAATTAACGTAACACTGAAATTAGTAACAAATATTCGACCAAACATCTGCAACCGATCAAATCTTCATTTACGTAAACACAATTGAATTAAACATTATGCTTGTTTTCAGACTGAAATTTTCAGCAGATCAGGTAAAGATAACGAAAAATTATACGCTTCCTCATCTAATCGTTTCTCTCAACATACAAATGGAATGAAATGCTTCATATTATGGGTACCTCGGTAAAAACTTCCTTTATCACCGTCACCACACGCGTGACGACAGTCTTCGGGTAAACCGCCATCGTCATGTATTCTGAGTCGTTGTGGATGAAGACGTAGTCTGCAGCGGTTGGGACGAACGTGTAGCCGCGCTTCTCGAACCTCAGTTGAGATTTAAATGTTTAATAAACACCATTAAGCTAATCAATCAAATAATAGGCGTATGGAAGAATGCAAGTAGTAATGTTGAAACGTTCATATTCAAACCGTTGCCTGGTAGGTGAAATATGTCGCTCATTCCAGAATGTTGAACATGTCAATAAGATCGTCAGAGGCAAAACGACTCGTATTTGAAAATGTAATCCAGAGGAAAATTAGAAAATAATGTTGGCAACAACTACAGGTAGGATTATAAATAAATATTTACTTGTTTTGGAAAGTCGGGAAAAGGTGGTTCTTTAGCAAGTTCAGTAAAAAGACAAGAGAAAATTTTTCATTTAAAATTTGCAAGCACATTTCCTCGATTTTGCGAATTGCACTTCTAAATACATCTGTAATGTGAAAGATCAGATTTAGAAGGGAGGAAATTAGTTTTCGTCGTTTGACTTTTAGAACAAACATAATTCATTATCTAGTGAAATGAAGGGCATGCAACGTGTGAATTTTCTTTTCGGAGAGAATATGTAATGATAAAATATCAACCATTGTTGGTATAAAAATAAATTGAAACATGCAGGAACTTTAAAAGCGGCAAATTACACCAGAGACAATGGCTCTTTACAATGTTCCACGTCGAGTAAACACTTCAGAATAAATTTTAAAAGTAATCTGCACGTTAACTTCGCATAATTTACTGACAGGCATTTTATAATCTATCATAAATAATAGAAACTGTGGCTCAATAATAATGAAAACACACTTAGATACGAAGACAGGATCCACTCCAGGCCCCATTTCATTGATGCTGGTGTTGGGGTAGCGGTGTTCGATGTACCACAAGTCCACCGTGATGCGGTCGAACGGGAAGTTGTCTAGGATCGCATCTTCAACATCTGCAACATTAGGTGTATTAAATAGTTTCTTAGACTGCACTCGTAACGTGACTCTTACAAACAGCATTCCTTATCTCCGTAACTGTAAATCATGAACAATTAGAAAATTAAGAGAGCAGTAAATCCTCGGCACATCAGATTGTTTATTCTTTACTCTGAAGGAGCAAGCATAGCAATGTCACACACACGGAATGAAGCAAGTGCACCTATGCAATAACATGTTCTGGAAATTTCCGATCCAGCCTTCTGGAAAGACTATTGCGAAGCAGCAGAACGTGTTCAGTCCATATAAAGCCGAGCCGCTGCTCTCGAGAAATAGCTTAATTGTGTAAACTCTATCTGCGCTGTCGTGCTCAGTTTTGTAAATAGTCGAGATAAATTTTACCCTAGACGCTCCCCTTAATTTGTTGTGCACAACTCTTGCTTAGTTAAATATTTCAGTTTTGGGGTACATGCGTTTTTCACTTCTTTTCTGAGCACTTTGGTCGGCTGTTCAAATAGCCTATTCGACTTAATTGAAACCTTAAACCTTAAGTATCTTTATCTATTAACCACTAAACTTAAAACCTTAAAATATTTAGCTTGCCTGGCCAAGGTGGTCATTCTCTAAACTATATGGTAACCTCTATTTATATTCAGAACTGCCGCGCGTTAAATAAATCAATAATCATTACTACAAATAATTTCTACATCTAAAAGCACTACCCAATATGTGCACTTACTCTTAATTGATTAAAGTTAGCCTTATTCTTTAATTTACGTATATACTGAACAACTGAAATTTTTTAATTATTACTTGCTTCTTGACTCTATTGTGATGATGCGTTTGTTTTTACCAGTATCTCCAGTAATCTTCAACATCTGCTAAAATTAAGTTAAACCTAAACGCAGCTTTCCAAATGGATTTCAACTGCCTTAGAAAATAAAGAACTGCCTACAAAAATACGAAACTTTGAATAAATTCTTATTATAATTCCTAAATTGATGATCACTCATTTATATCCTGCTTGGCGCTTAACTTTTGATCATTAGTAGAAGAGGATTACCTCCGCAGCGTAGGGAATATTTCCCTACAAACATTCAACTTATCTGAAAGAACTAAAGTAATTAGAGCGAAAATTAATCACAATTATCGATAATAATAATAATAATAATAATAACAATAATAATAATAGCGGTTTCAGCGTTTAGAAGGCCGTAGGCCTGTCGCCGATTCTTAACAAGAACATTCGCAGCATTTTGCGGTCTCGAACTCGCAACTCACTGCTACAATTCTGCTTTGCTTACCGCCCGGCCTCCTCGCCGATTCTGACCAGAAACTGGCGCACAGATCTGGGTTCGAACCCGCACCTCTCTGCGCCAATCTTGGTACTCTGAACTGTAACCACTGGGCCACCCTGATTGATGGCGTATAAATTAACACGCGAAATACTGAGGATTGAAAGTACCAATATATTTCTTAAATGGGCAATGATAATGATGAGAGTTAACCTTCAACATCGAGAGAGAAGTAGTCTATTTTGGTGTAGTTGGGCGCTAATACCTTCGTCGGTGCTGCGCCGTATCTTAACCAAGTAAGTTGGTGTAGTTGAGGGCCAGCAGCAACGACGCCAGAGGAAAGCACTGCACGCTCTCGTACGACGCGTCATGTTGCTGACGGATGAATTAAAGATAAATAATATCAATTAATTAAATAAATTTTCCCTCTATGTTCATGGAATATCCATACATAATATAATATTCTTAAAAATGCTTCGTAAGGCACGTACGTGTAAGCGTTCCTTAGAAGTCCTTGACTGCAGAATGCAGAGCACTCTGTCCTTTGGCGAACAGCCCGGCGATTCATACTCAATGGCCACGTTGGCCGACATATCGCGGGGATGATGGTGCCTAAAATTGCCTTGACAACGATTGGTTACTTGAGTAAATTCAAATTTTCTCTAAACATGGGTTTGAAGGGAACAACGGTATCTAAGTAAAAATAACTCTCTTGCGTATTTCAACTTTTGATACCACAAATTTTTTAATTCAACTCATATTATGAAATTGTGGCTTATTGATCATTAAAAAGACAGTAAACATAGGAAACTTATGTATCATAATAATTAGAAAAGTTCACCAGTAGATAATCCCAACACAGTCATGTAGCAAGTTTCTACTCGAAAGTTTCAATAACCCACCGGCTGGAAATCTAACATCTTGGTAAAGTAACTAAACAACTTTAGAATTCATCTCATCGCTATCCATGATGCATGTGCAAATACTGTGCATAAAATGCAATACGTCATTTATATGACGCCTGATCATCAATTGTAGGATTATTTATTAATGTCTAATTATTCATGTCACGAGAAGTCTTAGAGCAAGCGAATATATGCGCTTGCTCTATATAAGACTTAGCTCTAAGACTAAATTAGAGCAAGCGATTATATGCGTGTCCAGTTTTGTCATTCTAGTGCGTGTTGTCCCATTGACTGCCTGCGCCTCCTGCTAGTCTATTGCCTGCTGACGGTTTGATCGCTGCTTCTTTCACTAAATTAATTCAAATCAATGGATAAAGTGATGTCCAAATCCCAATACATTTAAATTCATGGCTAAAGAATTTATAATATGAAAATGCACTTGTTTTATTAGACCGCAGGCGCTAGGTGATGGCTAATCACAATATTATAGGGTGACTGGCGTCACTCTAATATAATCCATAACGTCATTTATCTTTTCTGTCTAAACGGAATTCGTTTTTCAATTGAACGGATCAATTGGTGGCGTATCGAACTCTACTTTTGTGCTCATCTATTTAAGTAAATATAAAATTATTGAAATCCTTACAATGTCAAAAACAGGTATGAATTAAAGTGAGAATAACGATTATGCTTGGCTCTCATTGTGAGGCTACGAATGAGTTACGACTCACAGTGTGAGGATAAAGGTTAAGCTTGGCTTTCAGTTTGAGTGTAGGAATGAGTTATGACTCACTGTTTGAGGATAAAGGTTAAGCTTGGCTTTCAGTTTGAGGGTAGGAACGACTTACGACTCACTGTTTGAGGATAAAGATCAAGCTTGGCTCTCAATGGAAGGTTACGAATGAGTTATAACTCACGGAATGAAGATTGAAAATCAAGCTTGGCTTTCAATTAAAATGACAATCAATAATGACTCACGGTATGAGGATAAAGATTAAACTTAGTTAGCCCTATCTGTGTAGTTACTAATGAGTTATTACTCACGGTGTGGGGGTAAGGATGTACTGCAAGGCATGAGTGAGACACCCACGCTTTTCTGTTCTTCAGAAGGATGCTCTTGTAATTTATGTAGCTTGCTTCGACCAGCAAACCCGTCCAGTCCTGATTTTTCTGAGGAAAATTTTGTATATTATTACATATGAGTTTTATTATTACCAAGCTATTAGCTGATTATTACCAAACAAATGATTATTGGTTTTGGTATATTTTTAGTCATTATTAAAATATTCATACAATTTTCGAATATGTATAAATCATGATGTTTACTTATTTATCTGAGATTTTATTACTCGTGTTGAAATCGATGGTCAAAACATGGAGGCTGTTTGCATCAATATCAGGATAGAATAGAATTTATTTCTCCGCTTGAAAAACCTAGAATGGTAAATTTCTAACTTATGAAACACTTAACTAAGTCATTAGTTAGATCAGAAAAAGTTTTGAGGTTGCATAAATTGCGAGTATATGTTAATCGAATTTGAATTAAGGTAGGTCTTTAAGATTTAAAGTTTTAAGATTCCTTCCAGTTTGAGATTTCTAATTTAAATTTTTACGATGTAGCTTAATTAAAGATCGACTGTGACACAAGGTCGCATGTTTTTGTTCAAAATTAATAGGCTGAATAATAAGATAAAAGAGGAACATTTTCAAATTTCAATCGAACTATACAAACAATATATTCACAGATAGACTGTTTTTAAAGATTTAAAAAAGTTTTAGCCTATTATGCAGCTGTGCAAATTTGCTTTATAGCTCCGTTCACGCGTTCAAACTTATCGTCAGGCTTGCATGTCATGCCAAGACATGCGAGACGGAGCATTTGGACGCTAATTTTATTGTCATGCATGACAGTTTTGAGGTTTGAATAACCAGGAAAAGACGGACGTGCAAGAGCTTTGGCTTCATGCAAGACTGACGACAAGTTTGAACGTTTGGACGGGGCTTATCGATGACATCTCCAACTCAACCATGTATTTAACTCACTTCGAGTTCGAGCGTGTTGGAGAGGTACTGGCCATCAAGTGCTCCCGCCTCCACGAATATTCCATTGGTTTTGTTATGGAGGTAATGTAGAACCACCTTCATGGCTTCCATATAAAAGCCCATGCTAAGGAAAACATTCCAAATCAAATGTAGGAAGTACTTCAATAAACTCAACCGTTGATCTGGTGTTGCTTAGTGAATTCCAGGAAAAACAAACTGGTAAAACGAAGATCAAAACAAATGATACTCATTTGATACGGACTATAAGTAAAATAGATAGTAAGTGTATTATCACAGTTTGCATAAACAGCTTGAATCACAGGTTACCGCGCATTTACCCACAATCTCACCTCGAATCTTAGCTATCAAAATTTGGTTGAGGAATGTCCCCTAATCGAAGCCTTACCGAGCGCTTTCAATATTTTTTATTCACCGTCAGTAAAGTTTGATTACTATTCGTTGCTAAAACATCCTCATCCTGGGTGTGCAGAACATTTGCCTACAACAGATTTAAACCAGCTTGCTCGACCTAGATTGAGCAGCGTCTCAGTTTAGCACAGTTACCCAGTTAAAATTTTGAGCCGAGACCGGTGCCGGGTTTAGCCGGGCTGGTCGCGCTTTAGCAGGATGGAGCCGTGAAACTATAACCGGCCATTATCCCTAAATCTGCGCTGCGCCAGGCTGATATAGAGACAAAATTCTAGCAGCTCGGCAGGGACGGAACTCTGCGCTGCATGTTTTAGCGCTGGTACTTTGATTGCCCGGCAGGGAACTGAACAGAGCAGCTAAGCAGGCCGTGCATGGGGATGTTTTGAGAGAGGGAGGAGGGGTAGGGGTTGGAAACAGTGACGGGAGAATGAAATTCATCCTCCATCTAGTTCATTCGCATAGCACGATATTTTGGGCCAATTTCCGGTGCCATTTGTGATATTTATTTCACGTCAGTATTTTAATACTTTGAATTACGTACGAATTTTATATGCTCTTCCAGTTTTAACACGCAAACAGAAACGTTGAAGACTTGAAAGTTATTCACGCTTTGCTAAAGCGAGATATCAATCAGTTTATCATGAGAAAGTTTTCTAACATGTATATACAGAAAACGCGTTAATAACAGTAAATGTTAGAGCAAAGAAAATACCGAGGAAAATCACCATATTTTCAGTGAAAATTTGTAAACCAGCACCATCATCGATTCATAAAATTGATCGACTTTCCCTGCGTTTCAGTACTGGTCTCCGAAACGTTTTCATTGAAGATATGGTGAATTTATTTGGCGCTTTCTTTGCATTAAAACTCTTGGAGAACTTGCGATTTGAGCCGCCCCAGAGCAGGCGTTGGGCAGGTTTGAGCAGGCAGTGCTCAGTAAGGGCTGCGTGACGGCAGGACAGAGCACACCTGGGCAGGTACTCAGAGGCTAATTAGCGCTGATACGCGGCTGGCGATATCGCCTCTATGCGGACATTTCTGCTCTGTCGCGTCTCTACGTCGGCTCTGCAGCCGGCGACGGCCTGCTCTATTTCCTGCCCTAAATTTTAACTGGGTACCTTACTTAATTCCATACGTACACTACTTCATTTTGAAATTCTTTATACAGCTCCATAGAAAGCTAGCTTTTAGCCATTACTCAATTTCTCTCAGTAATTCCACCGCTCTTACTCTCATACAACGACAGTTTCATACCCAATAAAGCCATCGTATGAGCTGTTGAACCCATATAGACTGCTCACAAAATCTGAAAATTCGATACCAACGAATTTCGGGAATACATAGGAAAAAGTTTTTGCATCTGGGGCTTAAGGATTCCTTGGAAAAGTGGTCAAAGACTCATATGGGGCCCAGTTAGTTCAGTTATCAGCAGAGCATCAATTAGCTGGAGACTATTTGAATACTGCGAACAGTGTGGTGCAAACTTTCTCTAAGAGGCAAGGATAACATTCTCATAGGTGTCTTGTAACTATCCCCTAACAGTTCCTCTGATAATGATAAAGTACTAAACAGTCCTTTACCGAGTATGACTTTCATTAGGTCGCATACGTTGACCGTTGATGACTTTAACCGTCCAGAAATAAACTGGGTAGATGAATCCTCTCCAAGAGATGGGAATCACCCAGCATCCCAGTTCTTGAAGTCTGTGCGAGACTCATTTTTAATCCAGAACATCACAAAGCCATCCCATTTAAGGGGTAAACAGACCCCAAATATTCTAGATCTGGTGCTTACTAGTGAAGAATCAATGTTAGATGAGCTTTGCCATGAGGCCCCGTTGGGCAAAAGCCACCACCAATCAGTGTTTTTCAAAATTAAGTGCTTTGCAGAAAAGACGCTTCGGAAACGTGAACGTTTCAACTTTGCGAAAGGCAACTAAGTTATACTTCGTGAATCTATGAGTGCATTTCGGACTGTATCATGGATACGAATGTTGCCGATTCTTGGCCAATACTCAGAGACACAGTTACGTCCGCAGTCGATGTGTGTGTACCTAAGATGAAGCTCGGTGGAAAACAAAAAGTACCAGTGGATGAACAGTGCAGTTATAGCTCAGCTAAAGACGAAGAAGGCAGCTTACAAGCTTTATTTACGAATTCGCAGCGATGCTGATTATAACCTGTATGATTAATCTCGAAATCATGCTAAAAAATCTTTCGCACCTCTGAAAAACTATGAAAACGATAGCAAAATTGCAAAAAATGACCAGAAAGCCTTCTTCTGTAGGCTAGTTCGAAGTGCAAGACAAACGACGGCATTCCTGATCTGATAGTAGAACAATGAAAGATATTCTCTGATGAGGGCAAGGCTAACGTTCTTCATCAGTTCTTTAGCAGTGTGTGAGGACTTGAAAAGTATTCCAGCTATTGAGGAGCGCCCAGTCGGCTCGAAGTTAACAGGTTTTGAAATACGCGAAGAAGAGGTTCTCAAGCGCCTGATCGCTCTAAATCCCTACAACCAAAATAAAAATTAAGAGTGGAGCACCTATGTTTTTATGATGGCTATAGGCGGACGCCATAGGTGGAGCAGCTTTGATTTATACAGTGAATTAAGGGTGGCGTGCACCACCTTTACCATACCTATAACCTGCCTATGGCCCCCCTAAACGTAAAGCTCTCCTTCCGCCAATTGGCACCCATTGGCACCAGTGGCACATTGATGAGCCAGGCGTGGCCACTTTTAAAATACTTGCTCGCTGCACTTGAGAGCCGCAGAGCCGCTGCGCTTTAGAGATGCCTTGCCTCTACAGACTACGTCGACGTGGCTTTAGAGTTTAAATTAATGGGGTAATTTAAGAATATTGCCAATATTATATGACACACTTAATCGATCCTAGAATTTATACTTTATGATACAATAATTAGTCTGAATTAATCGCAATATTTCCAACACAGCCAGTTGGCGCATACGTAAAATTTGAAATAAATTAACTCAATATCATGTGAACATAAAAAATTGGGTTCGCCGTCATCTTTTGAGAAACTATTTTTTGCGACAAAAAGTTTTCATTGTTCCTCGTACAATTTATATCAGGAGCAGTCTGATACATACCTAGTGGCTTCACTTTGGTTTGAAAATTTGTGAACACCTTACTTCTAACTGTCAGTTTTACTCGTGCCTACCGAATTCACGCTAAATTTTTGCTAAATTTTCTTTCCAGAACTCAATCTTAGAAGCCAAGCACACAGAACGAAGTCATGGTTTCGTCTTGATCTCGAATGACCCACAACCCAATAACACCTTTCTTTCTACGTTGGATGAATTACAGTGGCCAATACCATCGTGCACTGTGCAGCTTGGGCAAACGGTTATCGGTGATTCACAAGAGATTTGTCTGCAATGTGCCATAGATGTTTCAGACCCTATAAATCATCCATGATTCATCGATGACTCCCACCTGTACTCGCCACCTTTTCGATTTATAGGTGTTTTATTGTCGATTTTCGGCAGATCTGGCCACCGACCGTTACGCCACCAATAATTTACTATCGCCACCTATAATCATCGGTGCGCCATCCTTAATTAGAGCAAACTCCGTTTTAGGCTGTTTGCTTTTAACATGTTGAAAGCTCTATTTGATCTTTGGATTGTTTTTTCCTCGAATTTAATCGTATCAGTAAAGAAAAAGGAAGAAAGCTCTGGGGATGTAATTTCCGCCTTCGGCAGCTTTTCTTCCGTTGACCTTGAGCGGCGCCGCAGTGTAGGTGCGGCCTGCATGCTCTCAATCGTAGCACTGTCCGCGTAATAAAGTTTGGGGAGGAGGTGGCCTCAGCACAGCCGAAAACTCCGAGCTCTAATTAGATTGTTTTCGTTCCTCAAACGAAAATAATTAGAGCAAACTCCGTTTTAGGCTGTTTGCTTTTCTACCAAAGTCGCCCTTTAGGGTCTGGGGGAGGAAACATTCAGACTCCCATGAGAGGTAAAAGAAGCAATCGAGATATTTAAACCAAGGTTTACTTAATTAGTGGGGCAATGCAAATGTTAGATACAAAAGTGCTGGCACTAATTAATGACCGTTCTCCCTGCCACGAACTGTATTTTGGGAACCGATAACGTCCTTAATCATCGGTGCGCCATCCTTAATTTTTATTTGGGAAGTCATGTGGACAGACGGCTTCCACCGTAGATTGCTCAAAAGGTCGTCCTGGCCCGCCTTTTGACAGTATTCTTTACAAAAACCTTGAACAAAGGAACTCTGCCGACCGATTGGAAAGAAGTAACACCATTGTCCAAAAAAGATGACAAAAGTAGATCCACGTAAGTTCGATGCTCTCTCGCATCACCTCGCCATATCTCGTAAGTTCGATGTTTGTTTTGTTTTGTATACTGTTGCTATCATTCATGCACAGACAATATATTTAAATTGTTGTCTCCCTTAACTTGTGATTATTCGTAACACTTATTTCCTCGCCATTAATTGGGTACGACGAGTTTCTTGGTATTTGTTTCCTTTCATTGAGATTAAAAGCCCATGTTGTTTTTCTAATATTACATCTGCTCTAATGTGTGCAGATATACGGTCAAACTTTCCGGCAGTAAACCTGGAGTATCAAGAATGTCTTTACTGTGCTTGGGATGAAAAGAGAACTTTTAGACTTAGCTAAAAAGAGAAGATTTGGACAGCCATGAATTGGGTCCAAGACTGAGGCGTCAAATAAATTGCAAATGCAAGATGATCTTGCAGACGATCTACAACAACATATTGACAGTTTGGCAGCTGCGTTTTAATGCCGTTAAGTGTAAAGTACTTCACCTCGGGAAGAACAATGAACAGCAAGATTACATTATGAGAAGACATGGTTGCAACGAGATAGTAATGATCGAAAAGTCTTGTGTGGAAAAAGATTTGGGAGTTTATTTCGACAAGAAGCTGAAATTTTCTAAGAATATTGAATCGCAAACTAATAAATCCTACAAACTTCTTGGACTGATCGATCAGACGCCCATACAAGTTCCTAGATGCGGAAGCGATGAAGCTGTTGTTTGTTTCTGTCAAGCGCTCGAACCTAGAGTTTGGAAACGCCGTGTGGTAACCGAAACTTGAAAAGGAAAAAAATTTAGTAAAGAGTGTTCACAGACGTGCAACAATGGTAATTACAAGCTTGAAGAGCAAGTCCTATGAAGAAAGATTAATGATTATGAAGCTTCCAAGCCTCAGTTATCGACGTCTGCGTGGGGACCTCGTTCGAGGGGACCCGTATACTCATGGTTTATACAAGGTCCCTGAAGGATTACTAGAATTTAAAAGAAGAAGCAACACCAGGAGAATCGGCTATAAAAAAAAGTTGCAGCTCATCTACGCGACAACATTTCTTCTCGCTTCGAATCACCGACATGTGGAACAGCCTCCCCGATTACATCGTTGACGCTCGGAGTATAAACGCGTTCAAGAACAGACTAGCTAAAGCTATGGGAAAATATGTGTCGAGACTTGAAATTCCATCGAACCCGTTGGAAGTCTGTTAGCTATTTCAAACTATCGCTTTTCGATTGGAGTGAAATAACAAAACATCATGAATGCTTTGAAACTTAGAAATCCTTAGATCCTTTGAACCTTAAATTGAATGGATTTTTAATGTGCATTCGCTTAAGTGGGTGCGCATGCTACGCCTCGAATGAAGGTGGTGTCGTATGGTGGATAACAAACCTCCGATCAAAAACAGTTGATGCGCATGCTGCACTTTGAATGTTCTGGAACATATGTATATGATGAGTTCTCTGAACCACACGGAAAAAATCAATCTTAGAATAAGCGTTAAAGAGTGATGAGAAATCTACTCTGATTTTGGGAAAAAATAAATATTAAATTGAGTTTAAAAATTTATAAAATGCATTTATAATCTTGATTGATAAAAATGAAAGCTAATGTATCCTATGAAATAATTGATAAACAAAGCATTGTCAATTCACTCTACTTTATGTATTTAAGGTTCGGTTTAGAAAAGTCATTTCATCTAGTCAAGTGTGATGAATCCATCAAAGATATTTGAAAATATAGAGTGATATTAATGATGGAAGTACATTAAAGTTAACAGAGGATAGTTCATTATCAAGCTATTGTCATTCGAGGCGGACTGAGAGGAGAAAAAACCTTGATGAAATTTCTTATAGAAATTGAGAATCACTTGCAAACACCTATGTACCTCTAAACGGCTTTCAAGCCACTTCTAAATTTACCCCAGCGGTAATAAATTAGAAGGTTAGTCGCGAAATATTTATTCTTAACTTTGCATAATTTGATCAATATATCATGATCCTCATAATGATTAATAGCATATGATACAATAGCAATTATTCCATTAATCTAATCTTGGTTTGTAACTGTCAATTTACAGCATAACCTCCGGTGTATTCTCATACGTCGCATCTCTTTGCCGTGTGCTTCATGCCTCCTGTGCAGCCAGCGCGACATTATTTCTGCTGTACGCGTTATTTCATTTGAGGTTAGATTGGGAATATGCGTTCACTGTCAAGTCTTGTACCGCTAAATTGGAATTACTGAGCATAATTGATAAACTCTTTCTCGAGTTCCGGCATTTATTTAGCAAAGTCTCTTTTTCTACTTTCAGTTCCCTAAACTGCATCCACTGCAGTTCCTTTATTCTACTTCGCTGGAGCCGAAGTTTACCTTCTGGAGTTTCAATAAAATTGTAGCCGTTATGCTTGTATGAATTCCTTACACCCAAAGAGAGGTAATGTTCAATTTTAGAAATATTATCCAGCTGCAGATTGATGGTGATAACATCCGACCATCTCTACACCGAAATAAATCAGCTTCTAATTCTAATATATTAGAATAAATATTGAAAAAGAGTTTAGAAATAAAACTTTAAGAAATGCTCTATAAGTGGAAAGACGATAGAAAAATAAAAAATAAACAGTAGAATCATTTTGTATTTCTTTCTCCAAGTTTGTGGTGTCTCATAATTAGGAAATCAAACTACAGAAAATGGCATTGCAACTAAAGTTGCTATTGGAGAATTATAATGATTTAGCAATCTCTTCCTTTATAGAAAGTTGACTCACTAGCCTGAGTATAAGTTGTTAAAGAACGCTCTTTTATTAAATTTGAAATCATTAAATTATTTTCCAACGACAATGGCAATATTGACGAATATCTTGAAAACTTACCTAGGAGACGCCACCAAAATTGTGCAACCAAATACTTTGAGAACGCTGTTTATCTCACTAACCAAATTGACATAAATTCTGATAAAAAAAATTATTTATTTTTGAAGATGTTGCTATGCGAAAGAATCAGAATCCAGATGATAGTTTTTACATCTGTGGAGAACATAATAACTGTAGTTCAATTAACGTATCCCAAAACTATCACATATAACCAAGACAAACCATTAAAACGAATATAAATTTATTAATCCTATTTGAGTTACCTGTCATCGATATGAAGAATATTCATTGTGATTACATTACTTGCGATATGGCCTTTGCCGAGTTTCAAGAACTATGTATTGATTCGTATAAAATGCCTTATAAGACTGTGCTGATTAATAAAGATGTGCCCCAATGTTTTGGAAAGTATTTCAAACATTTTAATTAATTATATATTCCAAAAAAGTATCTTCCATCGTGAAACTCGTTCTAGGTTTTAGTAACGATCAGTTTCAACATTTTACCAAGGCCGTTAGTTACATTAACAATTGTGAAAAATATTTTAATGAATTGCCTGATGATTTCACAGCAGATTGTTCGAATTTTTTTTAAAGACTAAATTCTGTGATTTTAATCTTACCCAGTATTATTTTGACTTCGATTATCATGTGAGATTTTGGTAATTGCCTTTTCTCAATAAATTTTTCGAAGAATATTATCATGTAAGACAACATTGTTTTGACTTTTCGTCTTAGTTGTGTCCGTCTTTTAGGTAGGGGTTGTTAATTATTGCCTCTGTTATGTTCATTTTCAGTCGAAATGCTACTTTTTCTTATATAAATTTTATTAAAGGTTAGTTTATCAGGATGTTTTTTACTTTAGTAACTTCTGTTCCCCATTTACTTATCCCATCATCAATATATGTTATGGTTCTATATTGAGAGTAATATCGCCAATGTCACTTGTGAAGCTTTTTAACTTATATGGGCATTCATACGGAAGCATTTTGTATTTTTTTCTTAAAATTTTCAAATGCTCTCTTGCTTTAAATTTTTATTTGCTCCTTTGTGAATACAGAATAAAGAATACAAAAATTAGAAGCACTCTGCAAGGATTTAATCGGAAGTTAGTGTTCAACCAAATTTTGATGGCTGAGAATCGAGGTAAAATTGTGGGTATATGATCAGTAACCTGTGATTTAAGCTGTTTATGCTAAGTGTGATGATAGACTCACTATCTATATTACTACAATGCATTCAATGACGTATAGAATAGCTAAAATGTTGATCAGATTTCGTTCGTAGATTGCACACAGCTTTGGATGATTCAATTGAATATTACGACAATACGGTGGGCGAAAAATTGCCGGAGCGGATTTTTTGCCTTTTGTAGAGGATTTAGATCTTTTGTGCGTATAACGAAACATTGAGCGAAACAGCGAAACCATTTTTCCCGGCCGACGGTCAGCATTGATTCTTTATGTTGTGGATGAAGTTGTCAAAGCAATCTAGTAATCTTACTTCATTCCAGTAAATTACCTGACTTGCATCGTGCTTCATTGTGGAAGAAAATGAGCCCAATATTGAGATGAATTTAACGGATATATTTTAACTATTAGCAATAATTGAAATGAAAAGTGTTAAACTCTTACTTTTTGTAGTTCTCGTATTCGTGATCGCTTAAGAGATTGTAAGGGAGCGTTGAAGGAGGATACATGTGCCTGGAAAAAGAAATGTGGTTAAAGGTAAGCACCCAAAAACAGTATATAAGAAATGGTTTCCAAACTGATAGTGTTACCATTTTTAACAGTCATGGATGGTCGGTTGTGGCTTGAAATGGGAATTTTATTTGTTGACTGCTCATGGCGGCAGATGTGAGATTTAGCTTACAAATACGGACCTAATTGAGACCAAATGATTTCTTACTCTCAATGATTGGAATCGAATTACAATTTGAATGATTTCAATCAATATTAGAACCTAGAAAATATTGAATTTTGGAAGGTGGACCATTACCATCGAACCATTAGTGAACAGCGTCTCATGGCATATGCGTCCCACACGCAACAAAGATTAGTTTTAGTATTCAGATTGATTTCAAGGGAGTACAAAAGTCTCGGTCCGCTCTGTATTGAGCGATGATGTGGATGCAAACAAAATTATTTGACATTTATTTATTACTCCCAGTTGGAAATGTGTTGCCAGTCCTGTCGAGACTTGATTGACGCATTCTCATTTGTTTGTTGCATTCAAGTGTGTGCCGGTGAATGACTGTAAGTTATTTTATTGCACTTTGTTTTTCTTTAGAGATAGCGATTCAGCGTAATAATATCAATTTCAGTTAAGCTATTTTCGAGTCATAAGCCAACGAAAATTAGGTCAACAGGTGTTATAGGCGTACTTGTGTTTGTGAGTTTTTCACAAAGACAAAACCATTTATTAAACTTTACACTGCTTGCATTTTAATCAGCGTGTCATTCTGATGTACGCTTTCATGCTAAACAGTGCAATGTGACTGTGACGGAAATAGATTTCAAGTTCTGACCTGGATGTTTTTGTTTTGAGGATTTCAGAACCGCTGCATATATTTAGACGGAAACTCTGCCTTAACAATAACAGCTCTTATCCACTCAGAATTGCTACTTTATACACAGGTATTATTTGGTAATAGTCGGCAAAATTTTCTTGTTTATATGCCTACAATTAATGATCGAGGAATGCATTACAATTTTAAAAGAGTTGACAGGAGTAAAAATAGTTGACTGTATTTGAATTATCGATATTTTAAGTTGAGTCAAGTTAAGTCTTAAAAAACTGGACACTAAACTAGAAACTACCTTAAGAATCACATATCTAAATAAACTTTTATTTTTTCAGAAACTCTGGAAAATGGTTTGATTAGAATATTCTTCAAAATGTAATAATTGGGAGATGTCTGACCAAAAAATCAAAAGTCGAACTAGGACATTACAGAATAAGCAATAATTCAGCTCCAGCCTATTTAGAAAGCGCTTCTTTAAGCCGAATTTGAGGACTCAATGATAATTTAGCACGTTTACTGACACTACTTTAATGAGATTTCAGGGCGATGCTACTGTTTGACACATTATTAATTTATATATTACCAGGCAATAAGTCCAGCAGCTATCTCAATCAATCGTCAGTTATGGAAAGATCCGGTTCCAAAGGCCGGATCCCTTGTGAATCAAGTAACGAAAAGTACAAGAATCGGCAACAGGCCATGGGCCTATTTCTTCACTGTCGACACTTCTATTCTATTCTATATTTTACTGGGTTTTGATGAGGTCGAGCAGCTTGGGGTCGTCGTAGCGCACGGGACCCAAGAGGCGGGCCCTGAACTCATCGTCTGCCCTCGAGTGCTTCTCATCGAGGAGAAATGTCTTCTGAAATTAAAATGTACTATAAATACAAAGACAATCAAATTACATGAGAATAGATAAATTTCAACCAGGAAAGAATCACGAATCTCAAGTGCCGCACGTGTTACTATCAGCCTCACCTGAAATGAAAAACTTCAATGGTGAAAACTTGATATGTCTAACTGGGGGAATCCACCTAACGGATTATATAATATCATAATATGATTAAGGGGACCGTCTACCCTAAAAATCGGAAATTTGGGCTTTTCCAATTTCTTGACTCATTTTGTAGCTGCTGAAAAAGCGCGTCTAACGCTGTTTACCGCATGTCTGTGCGTGCTATAGTTTTTGCGTAAGACAATTTTAAAAATATATAAAATGAACATTTTTCAACAATATGTACAAAGATTTATTTGAATTAAATCTGTATATATAGATCATTACTTTCGTTAATTACTAAGTGTTTGCACTCGTTTGAAAGCTACAAACGAGACGCGTTCAACAAAGCTACTACCATTGATGTACATGCAAATTTTTTTGTGTAATGCAGTCTTAAACTTTTATAAAATGAAAATTTTATAACATTATTTACTAATAAATGGTATTTTTATGTAATTATTTAGGGTAATTGCAAAGTGTTTGCACTCGTTTGAAAGCTACAAACAAGACGCGTTCAACAAAGCTACTACCATTGATGTACGTACAATAGTTTTTGCTGAATGCAGTTTTAACGTTATGTAAAATGAATATTTCATATATATATTTATATATAAAAATTCCAATTTATAGCTTATTATTCACGTTAAATTTGACATAAATAGGTCTAAAGACGCTTGCTGGTACCCTGAATGCAAATAATTGGCAATGGGAAAGCTTGGGCTACAATATCAAGACTTTTTTCTTAATATTCACATTACTCCATGGATATATCAATTAACTTGACCTACTTGGATCGATGAATCCTGATTTAAAAAAAACTTTATTCGACCACATTTAATGTTATGCCAGGAGCCAGGATTAGAGAACACACATTCAATTGGCCCCACAATATAACACGAGTCCCTAAAATTATCATTTTGAATTCGTACTCCATTTGTGAAGCCTTCTTATGACTTCCAGTTTTATTCGAGTGGAAGAAGCACGGACCATACCTTCGGTGTGGAATTTGAATTATATTTTATTATTGGTAAACTTACATTTGTATATTGTAGAAATAGAAACGCTCCAGAACAGCATAACAGCAGCAGCGCTGTGGAAACGAGTCGTCTTGATGTCAGAGCTCTCATTTGGAATTTATTACGTCGCTAAAGACGAGTCTCTTTATGAGAAATGAGGTCATTTGCTAGAATCACTGCCTGAGAAAATAATGTAATATGGACAAGTGAATGCGGAATATGATTAGAATAGGAGAGTTGCTCCCGAATCGAAGTGTTCGGATCGGAGTGCCGCGGAAAGGTAAGAAAATGTAAAAAATATGGGTTACGATACAGAAGTAAAGAATTAATTACAATTATTACAGAATTACTTACGATTATACAGGTTAAATTAGAGCAAACTCCGTTTTAGGCTGTTTGCTTTTAACATGTCGAAAGCTCTATTTGATCTTTGGATTGTTTCTTCCTCGAATTTAATCGTATCAGTAAAGAAAAAGGAAGAAAGCCGCCTTTGGCAGCTTTTCTACCGTTGACCTTGAGTGGTGCCACAGCTATGTAGGCGCGGTCTGCATGCTCTCAATCGTTGATACGACACCGTCCGTGCTGCTACGCAGCTCCTCTAGTGACTGCTTTGCATCACCATATCCAGTCGAACAACCAAGTGAGTTTTAGCACACATTTCCCTGCAATTATCATTTGATAATTGTAAGGCTTTCGCCTTAAAAATGCTATGTGTTAAATTAGGTAACCACAGTTCTAATAACTGTTTACCAGTTCGCGAGTGCAGTGTTTGGTTTTGCGCTTGTGAGCGAGAGTCGCTGGGCGTCATCCCGGATGACTCACGCTGGGCGTGATTCCGGTTACTCAGTGAAAGTTTCCTCCTCCAGACCCTAAAGGGCGACTTTGGTAGAAAAGCAAACAGCCTAAAACGGAGTTTGCTCTAATTATTTTCGTTTGAGGAACGAAAACAATCTAATTAGAGCTCGGAGTTTTAGGCTGTGCTGAGACCTCCTCCCCAAACTTTATTACGCGGACAGTGCTACGATTGAGAGCATGCAGACCGCGCCTACATAGCTGTGGCACCACTCAAGGTCAACGGTAGAAAAGCTGCCAGCGGCGGCTTTCTTCCTTTTTCTTTACTGATACGATTAAATTCGAGGAAGAAACAATCCAAAGATCAAATAGAGCTTTCGACATGTTAAAAGCAAACAGCCTAAAACTCCGAGCTCTAATTAGATTGTTTTCGTTCCTCAAACGAAAATATATACATACACAACTTTTCCTTAAGAAGTAAATGAGGTTAAGGGAATTTTCTCTATTTTGACTAACTGCTGTTTTAGTGTAGTTTGAACGTTAATGCGTAAATTTTACGATGCATCATCGCTCAGATGCATCTTTTTCTTATTTCTTTCAGATTATTGAGATGTGGGAGCGACGGTCATGCAGGAATAATCCTGACATCTTTTGCTACATCTACGGAGAATAAACGCTGTCAGATGATGAGAATTAAGGACATTATAGAATTTGTGAAAACGCGCCTACGCATGATAGTCTTGGTGTGCAAGACGGGCCTGAAATACTTTCGGCGGTGAATGATGGGGCGTAAAAACTTCACTGAAGCTTGCAATGGTTTGGAGGGAGCCGTTCGACCCTGCCTCGAATTGTTACTTCTGCTCCATTAATACTCGTACTACTGGCATCTACCAGAAGAATCGGCGCGGCTTCCAGCAACACGACATTCCATCTGCTCACTGTCCACTGGCTAACTGGGAAGAAATTCCTGTGCCAGCGTTCGCAGAGCTTCAGGCAGTGACGACGAGGCCATCACTCCAGACGAGCGGGGATATGTTGAAGAGGGGTATGAAGCACAGGATCCTTTCGCACTGCAGTCCTTTTCAGAATGAGAGCTTAATGATCTGCTTTGTTATCTCGGCATGTCGGAGAGACTTCCGCTGAACTGTTGGCCTGTAAACTCAAAAAGAAGAATCTGCTTGTAAAGGACGCGCGTATCACTTTCTTTCGTAGAAAGCACCGCTACTACTTGAGCTACTTATGCTAGGGTGGAGACCTCGTGTACTGCCGAGATGTCGCCGGTATATTAATTGAACTCGGCGCTCTTCAGTGCGATTCCAGAGACTGGCAACTTTTCATTCACAGCTGCAAGCATTTTTTGAAGTGTGTGCGCTTCTCCACGACGGAAACCTGTTATTTTTAGTCCCTCTTGCGCACTTAACAATCCTCAGAGAGATATATGAAACAATAAAGTACGTGCTCGATACACTGCAATATGAGTAGCATCAACGGATTATCCGGGTCAACGTAAAGATTTTGAACTTTTTACTTGGCCAGTAGTCGCGGAATCGGACTGCTGTCAGAATAAATGCATAGGATGCAGCCGAGACAGAGCCTAGCACTATGTATGTAAAGAAATAGTGGCAAGGGCTAGCGCAATTAGTACCTGCATGGAGCGAATAAATCATAAACTAACCTCCTGTTGACCGGGTGAAGATTGTTGATGACTAACCTCCTGTTGACCGGGTGAAGCTTGGGTCAATGTAACAGTTTACGCGCGACTGAAAAAGCATGAGAGGTAGTGTACTTCACATCTACCTGCGCCGAGTTTTTGCTCGACTAACCATTGAGATGCTAAGGGACAGTATTTTCGATGACCCACAGATACAGTAGCTCACAGAGTTAAAACCTCCATGATTCGGAGAAGGAATCTTTCCCCCCGGAACAAGCCTCCTCGAGCGAGGAGAGATGTTCTCGCTGAGGGTTGTGGCCCGAGGTCGATGGGACAGGCTCGGTGGTGGCGGGGTTTCGTTGCATTGCAGTCGGGCGAGACTCCACTGTGCCCAGTCGAGCGGTGATGGAACGCAACATCTCGAAGATGGCGTCAAAGTTTCCCGTGTCGCTGCCCGTCGAGAGTGATGCGGTAGACATTGCTCCAGGGAGCGTTGTCGCTGAGGGAATCTTTGTCCCCTCATTTCTCTGTTCCGCTGACGCGGGAGATTTTCTCGCCGGTGCGGGAACTTGTCCCGCCGATGCGGGTAACGTTACCGCAGGCGCGGCCGTGGGTGGCTCAGGTTGGATAGGTGGTTCGTAGGGATCTACGTCCTGGATGAGACCATCGAGGGTCGGAAGGTGCCTGCTAAAGTTTCGTACGCGGAGGGAAGTAGTGCCGCGGGTGCCTCCCGAGTACAGTAGGGAGCGGGAACGGCGGTAGTGCTTGGCCCTGACGTGGCGGAAGTGGAGGGTTTCTGCTTGTCCCGGCTTTATCGGACTGAAGGGGTCAACTGAGATGTACCGGGAAATAGCTGAGGAGCTGGAGGGCACGTAGGAAGCTCTGGAATGGGGGCGTTTAGCTTGGCGATAGCCAACATCGAAGGCTTTGTCGTTTTCGGAAGCCCAACGTAACCCTTCCCCTTGCCACCTCGATTGTTGTGCCCTGTTGAGGGCCTGGCTCTGGAGGCTCGCGAACATTCTGCGGCCGAACTCTCTTTCAGCAGTATCGGCGTCCGTCAGCTTAGGAAGCAGGGATAGGCACTCGTCACAGCCTGAAGTCTTGTAGATGCCCCCGATCAGAATGCATTTGCTGTGTTGAGGCCTATGGAGCACTTATAGCAGGATTCGTCCGCCACGGTAGAACCAGAGGAGGAAATGACAGTTGTAAGAAATAGAAGCGACCCTTCCAGTATCAACAATGCGAAATTTTACAGGAATAATTTGTAATTTAAATAGGTATCCTATTAAAATTTTAACAAACGACATGGTTTGAAACAGGGAAAACTTCCCGTACCCTTCGGCATGCGGGAAGCTGATCTAAGTTTGGAGCGTGAGTGAGTATCGGAGACGAGGTATACCGACAATCTATTGACGATAAATGAATCTGAATGATGGCCGGCGGCAAAGCGCATCGGCAGTCTATTTAGATTGAATTTAAAAATAAGGCGCGGGATAGCGGGAAGCGATCCCGCCGGTAATGATTCCCGCCAGAGTGGCGGGAAAACTGAATCACTGGTTCCTTTCTTATAGGATTTTGACTGAGTTGCGTGCCAGGGTGATTTGCGTGCGATAGTGGTGAGATTTGAATTTGATTACTTGGTAAAATATCGTGATTTGTGTGATTATAACGATTTGTTATGTGTAGGTATTTACTTTTATTTTATGTTGTAGCAACATGCGTTATTCTCAGACCTCCATGCTCTAGCTCTCTCCTCGCATTTTTCTCTCCGAGCATATTAGCTTTCTCCGCATTCAGTTTCTTAATTCGCTTAGTACATATGTCGCATCTCTTTATAATCGTTAGTTTTTATTTGTTTTGTTTCAACTTGCTGTTCATTATTAATACATTGAATTAAGCTTCTTGTTTGAGTTATCTATCCGCTCGGTCCAAGATTTTGCTAATCAAGCCAATAGGGAAGTTGCATCTAATTTCCGGTCATTGGTGGACGTGGCAATTAAACCATCCGAACTGTTAAAGTGACTCGATTGGCTTATTCGGGGATTTAAGACTAGTTCGCCACACCTTACTAAATGAATGCCGGAGATTGAGAAATGATTATACTAATTATGCTTAGTAATTTCAATTTAGCGGTACAAAACTTGACAGTGAACGCATGTAAGGCATTATTAAAAGTTGCGAGACTAACCTAAATTATTACCGCTGGGATCAATTTAGAAGTGGCTTGAAAGCCGTTCAGAGGTATAAAGGTGCTTGACAGTGCAATTGAGTGCAATGATTAAGATATTAATGAATGGCTGACCCAACTTGGCCAAATTAGTAATTAGTTTAATGTGCCGCAGGGCGTAGAATTAAGGCTCGAATACGACCAATCCAGCTAGTACAATTAATGCGTCTGATACGTCTTTAAAGTGTTGGGTCAGACCAAAATAGTAACGTGGCATGCATTAACTTGACAAGGGGCCCATAGCATGCATTACATCAAAAAGATAATAGGAAGTGAATTGCACTATGGTCACTGTGAGCAATACAGCAGCCTAGAACACCATTTGAGTCACCTCCGTATCCCATAAGGAATCAAAAATTAAAATCCTAACGCTTCAGTAGTTCTCTCGAAATCAGTACTACTAATCTAACATAATCTTTAAAGTCTCCGTTAAATTGAAACGGAACATGAATTTCATTATACGGAACAAAATTTCTAATAGCTCATGTAACTCGGAATTTAAAAGTAAAGAAAATAGCCAAAAAGTTCACCATTTCTTATAAGCGAAAACGTTTCGGAGTCCAGCTCCATCGTCAGTTACTAGGCTTGCAGAGCA